CCCCCAACAAAGCGCGGTTGCAATTCCGACGCGAACAAGGTAATTTCACGTGAGCTTGCACCTTGCGTCACCTTAAGTGCAACAACCTTGTTCTCCCCGAACAACATTTCTTGTACGGAACAACGTGTAACATCGTGTTGTTCTGTTGTTGTACACGACGGTTCTATATTGTTCTTGTTTTTGATCGTCGTCCCGATCATCATACATAGAATTCTCGACAGAATGCGCGAGACAGATGAAAATTGAACGTGCCCCGATAATTAGCATAAATAAATAAATCCCGAGCCACGCGACCAAGGTGTGGACGTGGCTTAAGGAACAGGTAGACTTCCTTATAAGCGAAAGGGCGCGAGAGACTAGCAGTAAGATATAACGGGTGTCCCGTAATGTGAAGCTTAAATAAATGCAGGGTGTGGCAGCGTCATTTATATTCAGCGACTCCACACCGAGAATCCCGATTGCTTCGTGGCATTAGGGTAAAATGAGCCCGATCGAGGTCGCATCCAGTGGACAGAATCGTCGAACCTAAATCGCATATCGATCGAATTTTTCAGGGGTCAATGGCTTGTTACGTAACGGCTCTATTTATTATCCCGTAATATGTATATATATATATATATGGCCAATTACGAATAACACTGATGAGACTATTATCGAGTGCAACGTGGGGTATTATATACGAGACTGTTATAGAAAATGAATGGCCGTGCGGTGGTCATATATTGCGAAATTTTACACAGTCGGTAGATTCACATTGTATTCGTACAACCGGTGCCAATCGACTATCAACGCCTCTATTCGCCGATGTAAAATTCATTGTTTACGAGTCGCATGACTAACGAACAGTTTGTCTCGACGGCCGTTATTATCACAATGGTAACAAACGAATCCGGGGCGGGGCGGGGAGGGAGGAGGTTAAAGCCGTGATATTTCACTTTGCCCGATCGCCCTCTCGACGATCGTTCGTAAAAATAATAAAAATTCCTCGATACGCATATAACCGCAGTGCAGTGCAGCCGCGTGCAATCCTAGACTCGTATAAGCAGCGGCGCGCCGGTGCACCTTCCCTTAAGTGCAACCGGCAGGATTTGCAGCGGTGCAGAAGTGCGTGGGACGAGGCTAATAACCAAGGATCGGCTATTAATAGAGCTGCACGAGGGCGTACTAAAATTTTCTAAAGATCGAGCCATCGATCTCGGACAGTAAGTCGCTCTCTTGAGATTTCTCAGTCCGGCGCGACAACGTGGGCGAACTGCATTTTTCGGCGTGCCTAGGAGCTGCATGTGCATTGCTACCTGTCCGACTATTACGAGCCTGAAGGGAACAAGGTCGCGGATCTTTGGCTCTCAATGCGTCATGAAGATCATCCAGTTGCAATTACGACGATTTTCAATGTTGTTCCGCTTTGACGATTCCGTTGTTTTTGTTGTACAAAATCAAGATTCGTCTTGAGCGTATCTTTGCGTTGTACGACAAGCGTCTTGTTCGGAGAGCCTAGAACAAGAACTTGCTACGGACGTTGATATTGATCGTCAATAAATGATATAGGCAAAGGAATCGCAATGAAACACGACAATTCCGGGGCCAGCGATAAGTAGAGGAATTGCGAGCGGGGAGCGTAAAAGCTGTCAGGGACTGGCAAGGCGAACGGACGTCGCTGCTTCCAGGGTTCTCGAGCGGTTGGCTCTCGCGGCGTAGGCCGGAATCGATAGTCACGGCGAGTTCAGTTTACGCGGAGGAACAATGGGAAAGCGCGAGCACGGTTGACCCGTGTTGCAAGGAAGCCTGGGATGCGTCGTTAGAAAAGGAGCCGGGAGAGAGACGCTTAGACGTCGGTCGTTGTCGGGTTAATGAGGGTTCGACGTGGGCGTCGCTTCATTGCCACAATGTTAGGCTCAGAACTGGCGACGTTTAGTATTGTAAAATCAGAATGAACCGTGAATTCGCGACCTTCGATTATAATGGATCCAGTCGACCGCGAGGGATCGTTTAACTGATCGATGGCCGAAGATTCGATCTGTAAAATTGTGTGTAGTTTGGAAAAAAAATTTTTTACCTAAATTTCACAAAATCGATACACGGCTAATTGGTATCGCAGGATTTTTTTTGGCTGTACGAAATTGTGAGAAAAAAATTAAATTTTAACGACCGGATGGATGAAAGAGGAGACGAATTATCCTTAGTCAAAGAGCATTTCCGTATCGACGCACGCAACCGTGCCGATCTATCGGCGCCTTGACGGGAAAGAGGCACGCGTCGCGACGCCCACGCTGTCGCCGTAAGAGGCACTCGCAGCCATTATACAACGCAACGCGGCCGTATCAATTTTATACTCTCGGGCATACACTGGTCTCTTGGTTAGCCAATAGGAAACCGTTACGGGATTAAGCTAATTACATTAAACATTGGCTTTGACTCGAAATATACTTATATAAAATTTCATTTCGTCCGAGCACCCAGCTTCGAGTAACAGTCTCTAGATACTTTTCATACAAAAGTTTCATACTCGCCGTAAAGATCGTGTTTTGCGTTTATACAAGAAACGACAGCGGGAACAAAAAAAATATATCAGCGATTCTCGTACGTATTTACGTAAAAACGAAAAAAAAAAAAATGATTGTGCAATACGAGTTGCCCATAATCGACATGCCTTTTCTATAAGCGGCTAATATTTAAATAGACGGGAATTCCCGATTGTTGACCCGGTACACAAATGAATGGCGCGAGAGCAGCGAGTTTTATTTTGGAAAGAAGCCAAAAGGCGCCACACGCGCTCACGTTCGTCCGTCTTGCACCAGACAGCGTAAAGACTTCCGATAGTTTGTTTTGTTTGTATCCTCCTCACAGACGCCTCTTTCGAACTGGCTCCTTCTCTCTCTCTCTCTCTCTCTCTCTCTCTCTCTCTCTCTCGTCCGAGCATTCGCCTTCTCGCGTTTCGTCTGCGCCAATTAACGCAGCCGGCGCTATTGCACGAGATTTGGAAAATTGCCATATTGACTGGCCGCTTTCGTTTCCTAACGTCGTAGGCTGTACCCTTTCAAATTGAATGCATGGTCGTTCATTAAAATTAGGATGAAAAAATACAAGGTAACGTCAACGAGCGATATCGGTTCAACGACAAAAACAAAAATTTCGTAGAAACGTCAAAAGCAAAAAATCGAACAACTTACCTTGCGCCAACAAAAACTTGTTGTCTGGCCACGTCGAAGAGCAACTGCGAGTAGGTCGTCACATTTTCTTCGTGAAATAGATTGCTCTTGTCCACGAGATCTAAAACAAGTACAAGAGGGTGACATTTTAAACAACGTCAAAGAGCACCGAAACATAACGCGCAAACGTCAACGTTCTTATCGGGACTCGGTGCTAAATTTCAAAACGATATCAAATCTTTGTCATCGCATTTCTTATCGTCACCCTATCCCGTGTCACGTACGACGCCAGGTATCGATTGCACGTTCAAAGATAGTATATAAAGTTACAGGAGTCGAAGGCAAGAGGACGCAGACTCATTGAAATAATACGAGGTAGAAAAAAGCAAAGAGAATCGTAGCAGGAGTCCCGAGGTCCCTTCAGGCGGACTACCTTAAATTTACGCCCCTATTGTGTCGAGCCACTTTCGAAGTTGGGTTTGATCGAAGAAATTGAAAATTCAACAGCTTCCAGATGCCTACGTCAACAAACACTTCAATTCGATTTGGAATACCTGGACCACCCACGCCGTACCTCTTCCACTCTCCCTGGACGCAGGGGCATTACAACTTCACGGTCTTAAGTCGAGTAAGCATGCAGAGAGATAAGTAAGAGCGATTTAAGTTCCGCTTGGACTCCAAACGTTCATAGAGAGCGCCACTGTCGTACCGCAGTTCGCAAAGACAAGTAAAAGAGACACAGTGGTTGTTTCGTGTTGTAGCAAACCAATATATTTTTTCCCTATGTTTTTTTTCTTTCTATTTCTTCTAAACCCTTATCACCGTCCTCCTTACGTCTCGTTCCACGACTATTTTCACATTGACAAGTTATCGACGTTACGTCATCAGACTGTCTTCCAAGCGCTAAAGGCACTCCATCGTGGAGCACAACAAACGCACAAACTTTTGTGTTTGTTCGAGGCATTTACATTCCCACGAATCCGCTGCGTAAATACCAATTACCATAGCTCGACTACCGTCATATCGACAAACAAAACCACGAAGCTTAACTACAACAAAAATCCATTAATTATTGTTGTACTATTGATATTGTTCTTGTCACATCGTTCTCGGGCATACAACTATTCTAAGCACTAAGGACACGCGTGTTCCACAGTAATCTCGTTTATGTATACAAAATCGATATTTAGTGTCCCCGCGCGCCTGTGCGATCGCCAAAGGCACTTATGCGTATGTGCCAAGTGGTAATATGCATATGTGCGTGTATTACGCACATTGCGTGAAGTCATAAACGGTCGACGTATAAGAGTAGCTTGTAAAGCAGGCATCGATTCCCGTCACGGTGGTGCATGGGGGAGGGGGCAGGGGGCAGGGGGT